TGCTGCGTGTTTCCACATTATCACTTTTCCAAAAGAGTTTATTTCATCGGAGTTCTTTTCAGAACTTCCGATATCGTGTGGTAAGTGGCTTCACCAGCAGAACTAGTGCCCACTCTGTTCCGGGAGCAGCAATCCGTTCCATCGCTTGTCGTTGACAGTGGGCCAACGAAGCATGGTTCGTGTTCATCGTTGGCAGTGGCCAACAATCAGTCTGTCCGTCGATCTCGTTGGCAGTGAGCCAACAAGAAAAATCGTGTTCGTTCGTGTCTGTTGGCTGTGCCCAACATGTACAAGACACGACCGCAGGGTTGACGTAGACTACGTTAAGCTGTGTAGTGAAATTCTCGTGCATTTTTTTTTCTCTAGATATTGATTTAAAATACAGTAGAAGTAACCTATGATTTCGGTCCTATGTACATATTTTTTTTGATTTCCTACTTAGTAAAACTTGGTTAATTTCAGGACCTCATGAAAATGCGAATACATATTCTATTTCATTTGGTTCCTAAATTACAATCAGATATGAGTAAGGCTTTATTCAGGTGATTCAATGAAGCGTCCAACAATGACCGTCATGATGGCTGATATTCCCTATCACTTCAAGATTTCTAGAACACAAATCTTGGACGGTTGTGACATCACTCATGAAATTGAAACTCCTTGTGTACTGGACTGCAACAAACATGAAGTTCCAGTTTCTTTGTTATAAGTTTTGTGAGAGCTGATATCTTTACTCTTGAAATTTTTCTATGGTAATTACACAGACATAACACTCGCAACTTGTTCATCGAACAAGCATTTAACGGACAATTGAAAAGTATCGTAGTTGGTAGTACCGCCACCTGTGGCGCGCATAGTCAATTCCCTTGCGTTTGACGTTTATTCACTACCGCCATCTGTTCAGTGTAGTGCCCACTACAGTGAACTCAACAGATGGCGGTAATGTTTTAGCGACGATGTTTTACAGTGAGAAATATTTAATGTGTTATGTCTGTTTGTCTGTGGTAATGAGATTGATCCTCAGCGATTCAACTTCAAAACGCTAAAAATAAATGCACACACAAAAACGGAGTGCACAATTTTGCATCAATGTTATGCAACATTTCATTAGTTGATCGAGATGATATCAATTAGCCATGAATCCCTCCAATAAGTTCTCGGTACATCTTTTATCTACCGATTGAACAAATAAAAAAAAAATACTAAGGCTGTGTTCCATTTGGAAAATTTTCACTTAGATTTGACACTTCGAAAATAAATTATGTTCGAAAATCCCTCTATTGTATATCGGCCGATTTTCGAGAAAGCGTCTGTCAAATTGATTCCTCGTCTGTCAGAAATAAGTCTTCTGGAATAGCAGGTTTATTTGAAAATTTTTCATCTGCCAAATTTAAGTAAAAATTCACCAAATGGAACACAGCCTTATAACTTGAGCACAGGATCGTTTCTTGTTGTGTTTGTCGTATTAGATGCTAGATAAAAAAATCTTTTATCGATATGTGTGCTGAAAATACCTGGGCCGAGTAGATTCAAGGAGAAAATCGACGAAGAGAATCTTGTCAGTGTTACTTCGGACCTAATGCAATGTTCAGCTTGAATTGTTTCGCTTAGCTGTAAACAGAAAATCGATGAAGAGAATCGAACATTACAAGTAGGCCCTTTTGAACGCTCACTGTCGAATTTCAGAGCCTAGCACTGAAAATAAACTCGACGGTACCTCTATTTATGCTAAGAGATAAGCATTGCAAGTCCCTCCTACTAGAAGAATTATGCAAAAACTGGGGTTGTATAAACCGTTCTTTATCATAATTTTGCAAGTAGGAGGGACTTTCATAGCTAATCCAAAAGCATAAATAGAGGTACCGTCTGATAATTTATCACATTTATCCTTTTTATCACCACATAAACACCCCGTTCCCGTTTTCTTATTCAAAATAATAAATGTGTGTTCACAAAACGCACGAAATCTTAAAAAAAAACATATTAAGATTTTTTTAATTCAATCAATAGATTAAAGATGTACCAAGAATTAAATGGAAGGATTTCAAGCTAAAATATTCTGATCGCGAAATATTGACTATCAATACCGAAATTTCGCATAAATGTCCAACCCCTTTTGTGTGGTGTGTGCTGCTGTCTTTCAGTGTTGCCCAATGATTAGGGAACTTTCATAAATAACGTAGTAGTTGAGGGAGGAGAGAGGTTTAAGAAGTTGGGACCGGCCATGTATTAGGTGTATTGCAAAACACGCTCCGAGGGGGAAGGGGGGGGGGGGTTAATTGGTCAAAAATATATGTAATTTATGGAAGGCCCTAATTTTACTTCCAAGGCTGTGTCGCAATGGGTAAGTTTAATTTAACTCGTGGTTAAAAGTGACAGATGAGTTATCGAATAACCCTGCTATACGAGCGTGGTTATTTCGGACCGACTAGAAGTTAAATTTTGGTAACCGTGGCTGAGTTCTGTTTGAAAACTGATCAATTTCCGGCATTTTCGAACATTGAAAATAACTTACGAAATGTCACGTTTAACCACGAGTTAAATTCAACTCGGCAATTGGTACGCAGCCCAAGAAGTATTTCTCGATTACTTTTTCGTAGGAACGTATCAGATTTTGTAAACAACGCATTTGATCGTCGATTTGGCGTAACTGGTAGCTCGCCCACGTATGCTAGTACTACCATCAGATAGGGGATAATTAGTTATGCCAAGCCGACGATAAAAGGCGTTGTTTACAAAAGCTGATATGTCCTTCCGAAAAGTAATCGAGATTTGTAGTTATCATTCAAGCAAGGAGCGCTTGCGCCATCGAGACGATGCCGCTACCAGCAGCCAATGATCTCGACGGAAACGACGCACAAAGTTCGAGGTGCAAAACTCGAACTCTGCTTGCTTGACAGGAACTGCTTTCCTACTGCTTCTGCTAACTGCTGCTTCTGCTAACTGCTGCTTCTGCTAACTGCTGCTTCTGCTAACTGCTTACCCGCCGTCCGAAGCGAAAATGAGTTGAGGCACATAAGCAGCGCTGTTTTATAACTTTTCAGATGTTCAACCAAATTGTACTTGATTATGAGGACTGGGTTTGGGGAGAACGTTTATTTCATGAAAACAGTGATAAAATTATCACTTTTAATTTGTCCATTTTTTAAACAGTTGTTTATGAAAAATTGAAAAAAAAAATTATTGCAACAGCTTACGAAAGGTATTTCCTATCGATTGGTGTATTCGGATTATAATTTCATCTATAAATGACAAAGCTTATAGCGTTCAAAAAATTACACGTTTTCGTGACGGTCGCAATTTTAGATTTTCGATTTACCCCCAATACCTTCCCGTGAAATGTAGTCTACGTCAAAAACGAATGTTCGTATGCTTTTTAGCATTACTTGCTTAAAAATCCGGAGTGATTTGAGATTTGGGCGTAATTGTATTTGTAAACAAACACGTTAATCACCGATTTATCGTGAATAAAAGCTCTATTTTGAAAACTAATAACACTATGAAGTAGAGGTATGTTTCCTCTATCAGTTGGTATAGTTTGTTTATAAGATTGAGCTTTTATTCACGAGAAATCGGCGATTTCCCTGTTTGTTGACAAATACAATTACGCCCAAATCTCAAATCACTCCGGAAATGCTGTATCTCAGGAAATATGCAAATTAATTTTTACTGATAAGTGTTTCTTATGCAAATCTAAACATACTCATTCTGAGAAACTTTAACGGAAATATAAATTTGTTGGCAACACTGTACAATTTTCACTTTTTTACGGTCGTTTCATTAATTCTAAGGGTGCAAACTTGGGGCTGCCGTAATAAACGCAATCACTACTTTATATGAGCACCGGTAGCCGAACCAAATGTCCGGCAATCAAATACCCAAAACTGTACTAATAATTTTTTTGGTTAACATTTTTGTAAATAAACGAAAGTCAATATAGATGGGTGTTTTTGTATCGTATGCAAAGCAACGAATACTGAATTTTAATTGAAATTTAATCGCACAAACGAGCAACTTGTAAGCAATTGTATACAAGTTTTGCAACATTTCATGAAATGTCTCAGAACTTTACCCGATTTACAATGTAAACTTTTATCATATGTGACACTCCATTTATGTCCATCATATTGAACGGAAATTTATACTACTTTTTCGAACTTTTTACAATGAGAGAAGAGCAATAATTTGCATCGATTAACTGTTGTTACTTTTGAAAAGTTACGCAATAATTTTTGACTATGAACAATGCGCCAATTTTACTCTACATCATCATTTTTCAAAATGCCGTAAACGATCTTGGACAATAAATCACAGCACGAAGACTTCTCTTTAAATCTTAATCGAGATACCGATGAATAATCTCTTGTAAGAACCTACAGCAAGCTTCTCTCGAATAGGTTTATTGTATTTATTCAAAAATGTGTCCAAATATTCCAATAAATCAACCCACACAGATTTCCACTACTGCTTTTTCTATCGTTCATAAAGTATGGCAAACAAGACACATTAACTCTACAACAAACACCCTCAAGCGTAAGTCACTGCAAGCTACCATCTAAACTTGTTAGTTTTTTTTTATTCATTCACCATAGCCACTCTACTAGCTCATATCATTTCATACTAACCGCTCTCTTGATGATGGAACATGTGTATGTATGTGATAAAACAGGAATTGCAATAAACACAAGAACCGAAAGGACAGAAATTTCCAACGTCGAACGGAAGGAAAATTGCGACGAAAAAAAAAAGAAAAGAAAAGAAAATGATTAATAAAATTCCACATCATAAAAGTGAATGAAATTTGAGCATATTGGCCTGCTGCGCTACCACCGATGCTGATGGTTGTTTGTCTTTTCAGTATCAGCCAAACATACCCGGCAGCAGCAGCAGCAGCAGTAGCAAATTCATTGCACGAAAGAAGAGCAAGATGATTGCCGGCATCAGAGATGTGTTAGCATCGTGATCTTCTTTTGTGTGCCCCCAAGGGTTGTAATCCTTACCTCTGGCCCCAGATCGGTCGCGTTCGCACTGGAGACGAACTCTTTGAGGAACCCATCCAGCTCGGTGCCTTCGATGTATCCATTTCCTGATGGGAGGGCGTGTGGGTGTGTGAAAATCGGAAAAGAAGAAGAAAGTGATTCCAATGAATGTGGTTTAGATATCAAACGATTGCAACAGCGTAATAACATATAGAACAAGAAGGACGAAGATCTTATCGGGCACCACTCGTCGCTTTGGGTTGGGTTGGTTTGGCATGATGAGGATGGTGATATGTTTGTTCTAGATATTGTCACTCGCGGCACTTTAAGATGTCATCGTTCTCCAAACCGATGAGCTTAGTTTTATTTGTTTGAGTTAAACCAGGGATGTAGAATAAAAAAGTTCAACTGCGTTCACCGATTCCGAAGCTGTAAGGATTGTGCCACGTTTGGCCTAAAGTCGTTTGGCATAATGCCGTACGTTATGGACGTTCAGTTTTCATTATATTATAGCATTATACCAAACGAATTTATGCCAAATGACCTACAACCGCTGTAAACATCAATCCCGCAATCACCATTAGCAAAGCATGACGGGATCCCAGTTCGAGCGTTCCCATCGCAAAACTCGCTAATACTCCCTACTTATTGTCTCGTTCCGTTGAATGGAGCAACAGCGTCCTACTTCTCAGACCCACCCACGTTGAGGTTTTCTTCGCCGGAGTTCCGGACCTACTTCAACATCATGCTGCAAAAAGACACCGTCATCAGTCACCACCAAGTGGACGGCAATCACGTATGAATTTCATTCACTTCTTCTCCGACATTCCACGGCACGAACTGCATCGTCCGGGCAGCGCTGCTCATTCACATTCCAGTTTCGTTCGCTCACTCAGCTCAGTATCCGGATGGTTAAGCCAGTGTGCACGTAGAAAAAAAAAGAGTAGCTACGATTGCAAACAGTGCCCAAGGAAGTAGACTGAAATTTCCAACTCAAGGAAAGCGCAGTTAAGCCCGACAAAAAGGTCCCCCATAAACAAGTGGACCACCATGGGCTATACATACGCTGCGAATAAAAGTTACTAACGGAAATGACTCCCACCCCCCAAAACGCATAACGTTGTGAATGGCATGTAGAGCAAATTGAGAGAAGTACATACTTGGTAGAGGTTTGACCTTCTGTGTGAAAAGACGACGTGGAAGAAGTAACTTTCGGAGTTGAATAGAAAGCTTTTCATAATCCTCCCGAAGAGCTGGGCTGGACGGATGACGCTGACCAGGGCCGGGGGTCGGTTGTAGCTTTTACCCAACGGATTTGTGTCTATGAAGCGCAACACACAAGTTACTTGTTCTCCGGAGGGCTTACACTGCTGACATGGGATGGGACTTCTTGGCGTTGGGTGGTAAAAAATCGTACAAGTCACTGCTATCCTAATGATAACAACATAGATCGGCTTACAGTTTCTAATCTTGGCTCGTATGTCTCAACATGGAGCATAACATCAGAAAGCATGGTTGTTTAAACATAAAATTAAGATGTTTACTACGAGACCTTCTAGCGCCTACTAGAGAAGGTCTTGTAAGGACTGTTCATTAAAGAAAGTGGACACCTGTTTATCAATGGTTTAGGGCTAAAACGTAACGCATTTTGATAGACGACGAGACGTACGTCAAATTGGATACCAGTCGAGGGGGGCGACACATCTAAATCTTAATTCTAGATGCTCAAAAAATCTCACACTTGCGAATAAATCTTCGAAAAATCTTCTTTCATTTCTCGCATCTACTTGCATCGCGCATCATCTTTTGTACGAAATCTTCAAAATCTTGATAAATCTCAGCGTACGCGCCGTTAGCCACAGCAAAACACAATATTTCCTGCATCGTAGATAGAGTCGTCCCCCTCGATACCAGTACACTTACCGGGTCCCAATTTTTCAAAGCTGAGCAGAGGACAGATGTGCCTGATAATGTGCGATACATCCGAACCGAAAAAATTTGGAAAAAAAGTTTTTGGGATGGCAAGCCATTTGCTCATGTGGCTTGAAGAGTTCTTCGTATTTCACAACGGGCACAATCAATGGTGAACATGACAGAAAAGAATGCATCAAAAAACGGCTTCCACCCATCTACCGTAAGCATACGGATCCTCCATTGTTTTAGGCCGGATCTGGCATCTGCTCACTATGCTTCTGCTACGCTGGAGATGCTTAAGAAAACTGCAAACTGCCCTGAACTGCGTCCTATCGAAAGATACTGGGCAATCATTAAACGGCATCTTAAGAAAGATGGAAGAGAAGCAAGCTCTGTTGACTGCCTCAATAAAATTTGGTCCGCAGCACAACGAAAAGTTAAGAAGAAAGTTGTGCAGAATCTAATGGGCGGTATCAAGAGAAAAGTCCGAGGGTGCTTCAGAAATGAGAAGTAAACATTCAAACTCACGTGAAATCGGTCATAAAGGGCGAACACGAAATTATTGCGACACATTCAACAGGGCATAACTTTTTTACCATTGGGTAAAAATCAACCAAATTTTGCATACTTTCTCATTGATGTGTATTGTGTACATGCTGTCAAACTTGAAGTCGTGTTTTTCGATTCAACGAAAATGGAGGTGAACCAACGCGAGTTGAGAGAACAAACTCTTTCCAAACACCTGGAATTTCCTGACCTGTCGCACCGGCAGTTGGGAAAAATGTTGAACATTCACCATTCAACCGTCTCCAGAGTGTTGAAGCGGTTCCAGGAGCGGTTGACGTTGGACCACGGCAAAGGAGCTGGAAGAAAACCGGGACCGGAGAACAAAAAGACGGAGGGAAAGGTGAAGCGGATGATTAAAGCAAATCCCAACGTCTCAAGCCGTGATTTGGCTAAAAAGATCGGCATGTCGCAGAGCTACGTCCAGAATGCAAAGAAGAGAGCTGGACTACATACATACAAGGTACAGAACTTCCCAAACCGCGATGAGCGGCAACAATCGACGGCTAAAACTCGGGCACGGAAGCTCTACGAGAAGATGCTGACAAAATATGGCTGCTGTGTGATGGACGACGAAACGTATATAAAAGCCGATTTTAAGCAAATTCCGGGGTTGGAGTTTTTCACCGGCAAGAGCAAGTTCGATGTAGACGACAAATTTATGAAGAAGAAAATGTCGAAGATCGCCTCCAAATATCTCATTTGGTAGGCCATCTGCTCTTGCGGACTGAGGAGTGAGCCTTTCGTGACAAAGTGCACAGTAAATGGCGAGATCTACAAATCTGAGTGCCTCGAGAAGCGCCTTTTGCCGTTCTTGCAGCAGCACGACGAAGCTCCGCTATTTTGGCCAGATTTGGCATCATGCCACTATTTTAAAAGTGTCCTGGAGTGGTATGAGGCCAATTCTGTCCATTTTGTTCCAAAGGACATGAATCCGCCAAACTGTCCAGAGCTGCGCCCGGTGGAGCAGTACTGGGCAATAATGAAGCGGGAACTTCGGAAGAGCAAGAAGACAGTCAAAGACGAGAAGGACATGTTAAGAAAATGGAAAAAAAACTGAGAAACTGGTACCGGATGACACTGTAAAGACTTTGATGGAGGGCATCAAGCGAAAATGCGCTCAATTTTACACTCAAGGCTCCATCGATTAACTTTTTTCTTTTGATTTTTGAAGTAAATATATGTATAAAACTACCCTAACATTTTGGTTTGATTCTAAACATTATAAGAAAATTGGCATGACATTTTCGGTGTCGCAATAATTTCGTGTTCGCCCTTTATGTATGTTGGTTTTCATTTATATAAAGTAAACTAATAAATTTGTTCGAAAATAAATATTTTCCTTTGAGAAACAGGTGTCTACTTTCATTAATGAACAGTCCTTATAAGAGAGGAGTGGATTCAAAACAATCTACCTTAGCAACTTATGCCTAAATGATTTCTAGCAACACTGCCAATGCAATCAATGCGCTGGTCGATTGGCTCTGGCTTTGACAGTTTGTTTGGCCCTCTCTTATACTAGACTCTCTCTAGCGCCTACTAATCCGTTATTTTTTGTGGTGGTATGAGGAAATTATGATCTCTTCCAAGGATTGTTATACGTTTGATACTGCCAATTCTTTTTCTTTTTTTCTGCATGGTTATCTTAGGTTTCTAAGGCTGTGAACCATTTGCCGAGTTAAACTTAACTCATGGTTAAAAGTGCCATTTCGAAAGATATTTTCTATGTTCGAAAATCCCTGTGATCGATCGATTTTCGAGAAGAACTCAGCCACAGTTGTCAAAATTTAACTTCTTGTCTGGATAGCAGGGTTAATCGAGAACTTTCCATCTGTCAAATTTTAACTAAAAGTTAAAAAATTCGCCATATGGTTCAGAGTAAGTAGTGCATTCATTTCGCAGCAATTTTTAACTACCCAGGAATCGGGAAACAAACGATGGCTTATCGCGGAAATTCCCTAGTTCCTAGTAGTCTAGTTCCCAGATATAATGTATTATAGTTTTTCATTAGCATGTTCATTTATTAACTTCTGTCGATCGATTCACGAGTTAGATTTATTCTATTTTATCACAAACTGTTTATCTTAACTTCGAAAAATATATACGGGCAAACTTAACCACAATCTGGCTGAGTTTTTGGTAGGGATCATATGATTTGACGTTTGGGTTGTGTCGTTTGACCTATAAACGTTCAAATTTGATCATTTACACGTCAAACGACACAACCCAAACTTCAAATCTTATGTTCTCTACCAGAAACGCAGCCAGATTGTGGCGGCCATAAGCGATCGTAAAATACTGGATAGTGAAAACCGGAATGATAAAAATATTGCAATTATTATTTCCAAACTGTTTCACAAAAATCCGGCATCACTGCTAATGAGCAAACTGCTGATCCGTTCTGACTATATATTCTATAAATTCCATAGATAAGCGGAGGCAAAGTATAATGTAGCCAAACGAACTGTCAGTTAGTGTAGCCAAACGAGCATGACGTCATCATGGTGTTGTTTGAGGGAGTAGTATTGTAATATTTTGAGCACAAAACGCTTTCCACACTCCACATTCCGATTTATTTCGTGGTCAACGGAAGAACGAAAGATAAAGTAAACCATTCCTCGGTTCATTG